CCCCCCGCCCGAGTGCAACCCGACCACCTTTGAGTGAGTACAGCCAACAAGTTACAGGGATAAAAGTGTTGGCCGTCAGTGGGTATTTCACGAAGGATCCAGTGCGTGAGGTGCTGTTTGTTTTAAGCGCTCACCTCCCTGCTACGCTCGTCACTCATTCAACCATTTCTTGTCTCTTTTCTGAGTAGCCAATTTGACAATCATCTTACAACAACATGTCTACTTCAAGTCCTCGACAAGCAGCATCTCTAGAGACACTGCCTCCAGAGATTTTAATTCCCATCGTAACACGCCTTCCAGCGCTTGACATTCTCTGGGACCTGATCACGGCATCCCCTCGCGTCTGGCGCCTCTTCAGCGACCATGCCATCACCATCGTCGAATGCATCCTCTCAGGTCCCAATGCAATAATACCGCCCGAGATCGCAGAGCTCATACGCGCAGTCATACTCGTGCGCGCACGAGCAGTTCCCTTCGAGAGCCTGAATGAATTTCAGGGCCGGTTCTTACGCCAAGTCTGGCGCAAGTTCAAGGGCAGCGACATGGAAGCCCCTCCAAGACCATCCCCAGATGAAAAACTGAGCCCTGGGTGCTTGTCGACTGCGATGCCCTCTTTCGAGGTTCTTCGATCGGTTGTTGCAACTGCTCACCAGATATCTGCCCTTTCGCAAGCATGCTTGACCTCGTTCCTTGACCGTTTGAGAGATCCTAGTTTCAGACCTTTGCACCTTAGCAATCCTGAAGACCGGTACGATCGTCATCATAGACGAGGGCCAAATGGTGAATACATCAAAGCCTGGGATCAGGTCTTTGCCGGAGAACCGGTGAGTGTGGTTGATGTAGGTCAGCCCACGTGGGTAGAAGAGATGCGAGTTGTGCGAGCTCTATGGTATATTCAGCTCGTGGGTGAAATGCGTCGCCAGATAGACAGTCTAGAGTGGCCAGCTCAAGACATCGAGGGTCTGAAAGAAATGAATCCCGGCGATGACCGCCATAACCTAGGAAGCCTATATCCTCTGTCACCCGAAGAAGTCAGGTCTGTCATGGGATATCTGGCAAACCTTGGGGAGGCGAAGCAAGATTTGTTCTACCGACTACCGCGTCCTCCTCGATGTGAGAGATGGACTACAGCTTTGCCCATTCGAGGTGAACGATACATGGAAATCGCGGGATACCGGGAGGACGGTCGCCCTATCAAGCGTAGCAAGTTTACTGAAGATCGGCTTTGGGGTCGGACCCCGCTGGCACTGGATGGAGACGCCCCTGGAATGTCAATCTTTAAATGCTTGACCAACCCCCCCTCCCAC